GGAATGGATCCAGGGCATTGGTTTCATCCAAAAGAGCCTGAAGCTGATCGGCCACCAGCCTCTCAACCATTTTACTGAAGAAAGAAACATTGGCGACGGGCCTATAATTGCCAATATTGTCCGCCGCCAAATTTGGTTTCTTCCTAATGGGCCAAATGAGTGTCTCCTTGAGGGCAAGAGGAACCTTGCCCTCCTGGAGAGACCCATTAATTATCACAGTAGCCCATTCGATTGTTACAGGCCTGGCTACTTTGATTAGCCAGGCCAGGCAAGGGTCAAGAGAAGAAGTGGTGCCCCAGCAGCAATCAAGCGCTTTGTCCACCATATCTGGTGTCACAGGCTGAAAAAATTCAAGACTCACTGGGCAAGGCAGAGAGCTGGACATCTCTACTCAATCCACTGTATTTTAAAAGAGAGAGAGATCCTCCACTTTAGATTTTTTAAATGCTGCAAATTGGTCAGGTGAGAGACTAGTAGGAGGCCCATCACCTAGACCAATTCCGGATAGATCGCGAACAATACAGAAAAGTTCTGCCTGTTGATTTGAAGCTTTGCTTATCCGGTCAGCGAAGTGTGATAGTCTAGCAGCCTTCATGTTGGCAAGGTAATGGTTAGTCACGATCCTGACAGCTTTCTTATTATAATCCATCGGTTTCTGTCTCCAACTGCACTCTAGCCGTCTCCTATTTTGCTTCATAGCTCTCAGCTCCTGGTTAAAGCAGGACCCTGGCCGAGCTCTGTGCGGGAAACGGCGTTTAGGTGCGATCGTGTCTACAGCCCTAGTGGCAGCAGCAAACCAGCCGTCTATCAGAGCCTCGACAGGAGTACCAGACAGATCAGCTGGAATTCCTCTCATGGTATCCTGGAACCATGATTTATCCAGTAACCTTTGAGGGCGGACCATTAAAATAGGTCCATGATCCCTGCGGAGAGGGAGAGATTATATTTTATTAGGTGGTGATCTAAACATGACAAGGGAACTGAACTAAGGTCCATCACCATCAGACCACACTCGCTCCGCTCAGTGGAGAACACCAGGTCTAGCATAGTAGGTGGGGCTGTTGACATGTTGGGACATTTCCAAGGAAGCCATGGTTTCCAAGAACTCAAGAGCTGGACCGGAAATTTCTGCCTCCGCATGAATGTTGAAGTCACCCAGTCCCAAAAGTCTTGGGGACTCCAACAGTGCTGTGGAAACAAAGTCTGCCAGCTCCGGTAAGGAGGTAGCTGGATTGCGGTAACCCAGCAAGATCCCAATACCGTCCCTGGCCCCAATCAACATGTGGGGGGCCTCCAGACCTGGCTTCACTACTGAGGAGCGCCTAATAATCTCCAGAGTATTTCTATAAACAATACCCCCTGCCCCTCCAGTCCCCCCTGCCCCTCCAGTCTACCCTGGTGCTGGACAGCATAACCAGAAGGACAGGCAAGGGTGAAGGGAACTCCCCCTTCCCCGCCCATGCAAGTTTCGGTTATGCACGCCAGGTCTGCGTCCTCCTCCAGAATAAGGTTGTGAATAATCTGGGATTTATTGGACACAGACCTGGCGTTCAACAGCACCAGTTTTAGAGTGGAAGGCCGGCTGATCTAACTACCTTGAGGCTGGTAGGTGGTCACAGTTCCAGAACAGTGAACAGTCTTCAAACATCTGTTCATCGTTCTCTGAAATGAGTAGAAGCTGTGCCATCGCCATATCTCCCTCTGGGATTGGATAACCTCCCTAGTAGATGGAAATGCTGCAGATGTAATATACATAGATCAATCATGGCATTAACACCACTGACAGGTTAAGTGACTATAGTATTGATTATATGATTACAATAGTACCTGTCAAGAGGTGGGATATATTAGGCAGCAAGAGAACAGTCAGTTATGTAATTTCATGTATTAGCAGGAAATATGGGCATGCAAAAAAGTGACTTTGACAAGGCCAAATACTGATGGCTAGATGACTGGATCAGAGCATCTCCAAAATAGCAAATCTTGTGGGGTGTTCCTGATATGCAGTGGTTAGTACCAATGAAAAGTGGTGCAAGGAATAAAGGCTCATTGATGCATGTGGGGAGCAAAGGCTAGCCTGTCTGGTCTGATCACACAGAAGAGCTACTGTAGTTAAGATTGCTGCAAAACTTAATGCTGGCCATGATAGAAAGGGGTCAGAACACATAGTACATAGCAGTTTGCTGTATATGGGGTTACATAGCCACAGACCAGTCAGAGTGCCCACGATGACCCCTGCCCACCACTGAAAGTGCCTACAATGGGAATGTGAGCATCATAGCTGGAGGTTTTCTACAAGGGCGTATCAGTGGTGGTACACTAGGACCCCCTTATCCATGTGATCAGTAGCCACTGATACACTTATCCACGATTTGAATATATTAAAATTAATAAAAGAAAAAAATCCAGAAAAACTATCTTCCCGTGTATTATGAGAAATGACCTCTAGAGGGAGACAGAGACTTGTTAGTGAAAAATAGTACATAGCACAGGGGTCCCCAACCCCGTGGGCTTCCTGGCACTGGGTTGCGGAGACGCATCTCTGCCCCCCCCACGCACGCATGATGGGCGTGTTGTACTCTCAGAGGGGCGTGTTACGCTTTCGGGTGGGCGTGTTACGCTTGCACATGAGCACGACACACCCCTCCACAAACAACTGTAACATTCTTCATGTATTAGATCTATGGTTCTTGTTGTACAGTGGGGTCTTGACTTGTGAACGGCCTGAGGTACGAACTTTTTGAGTTACGTACTTCTCTGTCCGCAGAAATCCATTTTGACTTGCGGACGGAGAATTGAGGTATGAACCAAAAAGTTTTTTTAAAAAGCAGGAAAGCACCTGGAGTCGGGTGGTGGCAACGCAGCGAGAGGCGGCGGCGCTGCTCCTGCTCCAGGACTGGGGAGCCTCGGGATGACTTGGCACACAACTAGAGAAGCCAACTCTAACTTCTTCACTGCTGGTAAGTTGCTGCTAAAATATATACAGTGGTGCCTCGCTAGACAGTTACAGTGGGGTCTTGACTTGCGAACGGCCCGAGGTACGAACTTTTTGAGTTACGTACTTCTCCGTCCGTAAAAATCCATTTCAACTTGCGGACGGAGAATTGAGGCACGTACCAAAAAGTTTAAAAAAAAAGCGGGAAAGCACCTGGAGCCAGGTGGCGGCGACGCGGCGAGAGGCAGAGAGAGGCGGAGAGGCGGCGGCGCTGCTCTTGCTCTGGGATTGGGGCACCTCGGGGTGTTCCGGCCGCCAGAATTCCAGCCCGGCCGGGGCCTCTGCCTGTCCTGGGTGGGCCCTGGTGAGCCGAGCTCTGGCAGCAAAAGGCAGCGGCGAGGACAGTGGAGGAGCCTCCGAGTGCCCCGGTGAGCCCGCGCGGGAGAGCGGGAGCGAGTTCGCGGGGGTGGCACTGGTGCTGGGAGGGCTCCGTGCTGGGGAACTAGGCGGGCGCGGAAGGCGGGTGATGGGAACAGGGGCTGGGGAAGGAAAGCGAGGAGGGCCAGGATCTGGCTGAGGCTGGAAACGGGGGCTGGGCGGGGAGGGAGAGAGCACCACGGGGGTCGCGGGGAGCCTTGATGGCTGGGCACCGTGTGCTACTGCTGCTCCCATCTCCACTGGGCCCATTCCCCCGGAGCTCGGAGGAAATGGCTGCGCTGCCTGTTTCGCCTTCCTGGGATTGCAAAATATCCCCCTCTAGTGGCAGAAGGCGGAATAGCAGCTTCCCATTACTTTCTATGGACGGTACAGAGCAGATACGGATTACAATGGTTTTCAATGCATTCCTATGGGAATGCAGATTTTGACCTGTGAACGTTTTGACTTGCGAACCGCCTTCCAATACGGATTAAGTTCGCAAGTCAAGACCCCACTGTATTATGCAATGGTTTATGAATATTCATGTTGCTGAGAGGTGGAGCCAATAGTGATGCTATAAGAGGCGGAGTCAGAGAGTCAGAGGGAGATTAAGTCAGTAAGAGTAAGAGTCAGACAGAGTAATAGAGTGCGTAGTTTGGGAAATTTAGGAGTGATTAGCTACTGAAGATATTTATGAATCTCTGTAATCAATAAACTAAAGTTTTATTTAAAAGGACTTGAATCTTTCTGAAGTAATGGTGATTTAGAGATCACCTGGTGGCAGCCAGTGAAAAGAGTGGGGTTTGATTGCCTTCGGGTGCTCTGAGGCAAATGGTCCGCAGTCCCAAAAAGGTTGGGGACCACTGACATGGCCTCTGGCACCCATTACTGCCCAGTTCTGGTAATGCATGTAAAAAAAATTTCTGTGTTTTTTCCTTTTACTATGCTCTCTCTCTATCATCCATCATCCATCATTCATCATCCATCATTCTAATTTTCAAACTACTAGGAATATTTTTAAACTACTACGGTGGTGGTGGTGGTGTGGCTGGAATCTATCCCAGCAGATATGGGGTCCTACTGTATTTGTCACCCAGTGGGCCAACTGGAGCAGCAAATATAGGGCGAGGGGGCTGTAGGTAACCGCTGGGATAGGACATTGTGTTGCCTGTCCCTGCTTTTTAACTAGTTGATCTGGTCTTCAAGGTTCTGAAAAGTTTTTAGATTTGCCTTTTTTCCCCCAGAACCAACCTTCAGATTTTTTCCCAGCCAGCTTTGTAGAGCTCTTGCTTGTTTACTCCTGGGAACAACTTCACATGAGCCTATTTTTAAACTGGTTCTAATGGTGTAATTCAGACGTTCCAGTCACTGTTGTTCAGGGTTTGGAACATTTACCTTTCTTGAGACTATAACTCCCAAATACCTGAGGGATTTGGGGAGTTATTATTAAAAAGAGGTAATGCTTCCAAGGTGTCCCCCTCCCCCTTTCTCAGCCAGAAGGGTATCTGCCATCCCCGTTACTGTTTGTAGTAATATAATCTCCATTTCTTAGGATTCTGGCTTTGCTGGCTGCACTTTGTGCTACAGGTGGAATCTGATTCTGAAGGCTATTAGTCCTCACTGAACCTTCCTTTTCTCCTTCTTAAAGACAGCCGGAGCATGTCATCTGACCAAACCTCTCAGTCTGCGGTGCCACCCCTCCACTCCCCCAAGTCACCTGTGTGGCCCATTTTCCCCTTTAACAGGGAGGGAAGTCGGATCTGTGACAGAGGCTCCCATCTTCTTCGGGACTTACCTAGTCCCCTTCCCACAAAAAGAACCAGGACATACTCTGCGTAAGTACTTGCCAGACTTTGCCATTGAGGAAACTTTTGGGAAGGATTTTGTTTTAGTTTCAAAACTTGTTAGCATCCAGGCTTTTGTTGCTATCTGTGAGCTTGTACTCTGTTAAGTTCTGATGTAATTCACATTGACTTGGATGCTAATGGAAGCTGGCAGACCATGATGATGTTACTTTCTGGCCCCATTGGTTGGTTGCTATTCTGATGGCTAGACTGAGTCCTTTTATAATAGAATTCCCAGCTTTAGCACCTCCTATCAATCCAACTTCATAATTTTCATGTAATTACTCTCGTGCTAAAAATGATGCAGAGTACCAAATATTGTGCGAGCTGGTATAGCTTAGTGGGTTGGAGCACATGACTGGGGAACCACAGTTGGGAGTTTTAATCCTCACTGTGCTTTTTGAGAGAGGAGTTGGCCAAGATCACCTGGAGTTCATGTGGCTGATGGGCTTACCTGCCCTGCCAGCTGTTTGGCCTTAGACAAGTTACATGGTCCCAAAGCATCACTAGAGGGAGGGACTGGTAAGCCACTTCTGAGTACTTTATACATAGAAAATTATGGGAGGAATGCCATAAGCTGACATGACTTGACAGCTTGTCATTATTGCCATTGTTATTATCATTTAGAGACACTATGCAGGCTCAAACTGGGACATATTGTTGCCTTAGGCAGAGGATAAATAATTCTCCCAGCAACCCATTCAAATCAAGGTAAATGGAAGCCAAAGGCAGCAACACTATTTTATTGCCCAAGACAGAAGACCCACAAACACTTTCCCCATTCCCTGGAGAGAGAGAAAAAACAACCCACCACAATAGCAAAGTAAACAAGAAACACTTTGCTGTCCTTTTGTCACATCTCCAGTCTGCTGTTTGAGGTAGCTGCTTAGGAAGGTAATATACTGTAGATATCCACATACCTTTTGAGAAGCAGGGAAATGACAGTCTGCAGTAACATGTTGATATGTCTGCATAATTGCAATTATCAAAGTAGGAAGTTATTGGATAAAGAATAAAGGGAGGTTGCAAGGCCAGAGGCTGGGTGTTTGTTTCCCCACTGTGGCTCCAGGGAGAAAAACCAGCCTGAGTGACCTTGGGCAACCTGTACAGTTCCAAGGAGCCCCCAGAGGGATAGGAATGGTAAACCACTTTTGAGTTTTCTTTTAATGAGCATAATTGCAATTATCAAAGTAGGAAGTTATTGGATAAAGAATAAAGGGAGGTTGCAAGGCCAGAGGCTGGGTGTTTGTTTCCCCACTGTGGCTCCAGGGAGAAAAACCAGCCTGAGTGACCTTGGGCAACCTGTACAGTTCCAAGGAGCCCCCAGAGGGATAGGAATGGTAAACCACTTTTGAGTTTTCTTTTAATGAGAAGAGTCGCCATAAGTCAGAATTGATTTGACAGCACATTATTATTATTATTATTA